CTGACCGGCAAGTCCTAGGCTCTGTGGTTTAAATCAATGAAGAACTACCATGCCACCAAAAGAGTTTCTCTATGGGTCTTCTTTCAACTGCTATCTTTCTCATGAATTGCCAGAAGTAGCCATGGGACATGATTTTTGTCATACGCTTCGCACAATGCAAACCTTTCGAGGTGAGCATCTAAGCTGCCCTTAGACCATCAGTAATCATCAGTGTAAGGTCAACATTGCCTCTCTAGAAACCATCCTCGATTTATAACCTGGGGAGATGAGATTGAAGAGGGGGAGGAAAGAGAGAAGGGGGCACAGATGCCAGCCAGAGAAGGTGAGGGGCTCTGAAATTTGCCCTTCCATCCACGCGGCGTGAGCAATTTTCCCGAAGGAAAAGGGGATTTTTCTTCTTCTTCTCTCTCTCTCCAAAGAGCCCCAGCAACACGCACACATGTAAAGTTTAAGGTCACTTCCAGCAATGTTTTGACATTTCCAAGTCTTCCCCCTCCGGGTTCTAAGGATCAGAATGCTATAAATGCCGAGATGTGGACACGGTTGACCTTAAGCTTTGTGAGGCAATGTAAGCGATTCTCAGATTCCTCGAAATCTCCCTCTGCCAGCTTCCCAACCTCTTTCACTCAGCTGAGGATGGGACAGTTTCTCCCTTTGCCATTTCCCATCCGAAGAAAATATCTCTGAATGATCCCTCAGTTGTAATTTATCACAACCCGAGGACAGCTTCCCAAGTTAAAGTTCTTAATCTCGACAAGAACTGACAAAAAGGGTGTCAAGTAGGAATCCTGGATATGTCCATCAGTTTCGGCATCAATGTTGGCCCTTGTGGAAAGATAGCTGCCCAGGTAGGAGAAGTGATCAACATTTTCCAATGTTACACCATTGTGTTGGAATTGTGGTGCTGAAGAGGGGTTATTTTGTAGCTGTTGGTGCAGCACTTTGGTTTTTTGGATGTTGAGCGATAGGCCAAGCTTTTCATAAGGTTCTGCGAAGATATTTAGGATAGTTTGGAGGTCATCCTCTGAGTGTGCACACATGACATTGTCATCAGCATACTGAAGCTCTATGATGGAAGTTACGGTAACCTAAGGTTACCAGACATCCCCGTTTCCCAGGGATAGTCCCTGGATTTACGAATGAGTCCCCTGACAAAATCCATCCATTCCGACTGAAGTTGAAAAGTGTACCCGGATTCATTGAAAAAAATCTGGTAACCTTATGGTAACCTTACTCTTTGCTTTCAGCCTGCTCAGATTAAAGAGCTTTCCGGCTGTTCAATGTATGATTTCTACAATAAACGCCATCTCCAACTCCTCAAAAAATTCCATCAACAGTGTCTCCGAAAAACTTTAGACATCACTTGGGAAAACAGGTGGACTAATACTAGAAGAAGCAAAGATCACCAGTCCTGAAGCAATGATTCTTCAACATCAACGTCGTTGGACTGGTCATGTTGTGCGGGTGCCTGATGATCGTCTTCCAAAGCATCTACTCTATTCTGAATTTAAAAATGGAAAGCATAATGCTGGTGGTCAACAAAAGAGGTTTAAAGACTCTCTCGAGGCATATCTAAAAAAATGTAGTATAAACACCAACAACTGGGAAACATTGGCCTGCGAGCACTCCAGTTGGAGAACAGCCTTTACCAAAGGTGTCATGGGCTTTGAAGACACTCAAACTCAGGACGAAAGGGAGAAACGTGCTAAGAGGAAGGCACACTTGGCAAATCCACACCAGGATCAACTCCCACCTGGAAACCAATGTCCCCACTGTGGAAGGACGTGTGGATCCAGAATTGGCCTCCACAGTGGGACTCATTGTTAAAACCATCTTTATGGAAGACAATCTTACTCGGCTACGAGTGATCGCCAGAGAAGAAGAATGTAATATCTAACATCGGAATATGTCTGAATTACCACCATTAACCCGATAACAGAGTCCACCCCGTCATTACTGATCAATAGCATGCAGCTAATAACTTCTGATGATGTGCAGCTATTATATCAAGCCTACACTCTTCTTTCATTATAAAAGTAATATTCAATATTGATTTACGCCTATCAGTACTACTTAAGCGCGCAGGCAATTTCTGTGTCACAATGTTCAGGATATTGTCTTCGAGAGATACAGCATCAGGGCAGGCTGCAACTGAGGCCGTGGGCCACTAATCTATCCGGTATTGAACTGCAGAGATTTGGGGTGGTAAATCCTCAACAAATGGAAAGTAAAGGCATGTGTGTTATCAGTCGTCTCCCCTTCCCCTATTGCGTGTCTAGACTCTAGTGCCTTGCTCTCCACCTTTATTACTGTCCTGCTGACCTCTGTGGCAGGGCAGCAGGCCATTGCTAGTATCGAAACGGGATTTGCTGCTGTACGTGGAATGGGTGCATGTGTGTGCCATTTTGCCCTTGTCTCAGGCAGCAAAATGTCTTGGGATGGACTTGAATGCAGGATGCGACATGCTTGGCCCCCACTGCGTTTCCTGACATTGCTTATCTTACAAAGACTGTGAGACCCTATCTGCCCGCGGACTGCCTCACCAGAGTGGTGCATGCTCTGGTTATCTCCCGCTTGGACTACTGCAATGCGCTCTACGTGGGGCTACCTTTGAAGGTGAACCGAAAACTACAACTAATCCAGAATGTGGCAGCTAGACTGGTGACTGGGAGCGGCCGCCGAGACCACATAACACCGGTCCTGAAAGACCTACATTGGCTCCCAGTACGTTTCCGAGCACAATTCAAAGTGTTGGTGCTGACCTTTAAAGCCGTAAATGGCCTCGGTCCAGTATACCTGAAGGAGCGTCTCCACCCCAATCATTCTGCCTGAACACTGAGGTCCAGCTTCTGGCAGTTCCCTCACTGCAAGAAGCCAAGTTACAAGGAACCAGGCAGAGGGCCTTCTCGGTAGTGGCACCTGCCCTGTGGAACTCCCTCCCACCAGATGTCAAAGAGAACATCAACTACCAGACTTTTAGGAAACATCTGAAGGCAGCCCTGTTTAGGGAAGCTTTTAATGTTTGATGCATTACTGTATTTTAATATTTTGTTGGAAGCCACCCAGAGTGGCCGGGGAAGCCCAGCTAGATGGGTGGGGTATAAATAATTTCTTATTCTTATTCTTATTCTTATTCTTATTCTTATTCTTATTCTTAGATTCAGGACAAACAAAACAAAGTCCTTCTTCATGCAGTGCATAGTTAAACCGTGGAGGCAGGATGGCTGCGAACTTGAATGGCTTTTAAATTGGTCTGGTCCTCTTTTGAACAGAACTATTCACAGAGGAGATGGCTATCGACGGCTACTAGCCATAATGGTTGTGCTCTGCCTCCACAATTGCTTCCAAATTCCAGTCGCTGGATGTCCTGTATTTGAATCCTGCTTGCTGGTTTCCCACAGGCATTTGGTTGGCCACTGTGAGAACAGGATGCTGGACTAGGTGGGCCATTGGCCTGATCCTGCAGGCTTTTCTTACATTTTCCTGGTAGAGGACAAGGACCTAGAGATCACGTTAAGGGTGACCAAATTCTGTGTGACTGCCATAAAACTTAGGGAACAAGCTGTACTACCAAAACGATCAAGGATTTAAATGACAATTTTAGGTTTTATTTTAGTGATCAAGATTTAATATATATTTTTAACTGCCTCTATATCTGTATTGTCTCTGTTTTACCCAATTGCAATTCAATGTACAGTATTCCTGATATTGTAAGTGAGCCAGAACTGGTCTGTGACCGTAATAATAAAATTCAAATTCAAATTCAGATTTAAAGGTATGTGCTGGGAGACTTCAATAGCCCACTCTTCCATGAGTTTGTCTCATCGTCTTTTAAAACCCCCTAGGCTGTTGGGGACGCAGGCGGCAATGTGGGTTAAACCACAGAGCCTAGGACTTGCCGATCAGAAGGCCGGCGGTTCGAATCCCCGCGACGGAGTGAGCTCCCATTGCTCGGTCCCTGCTCCTGCCAACCTAGCAGTTCGAAAGCACGTCAAAGTGCAAGTAGATAAATAGGTACCGCTCTGGTGGGAGGGTAAACAGTGTTTCCGTGCGCTGCTCTGGTTCGCCAGAAGCGGCTTAGTCATGCTGGCCACATGACCCAGAAGCTGTACGCCGGCTCCCTCGGCCAATAAAGCAAGATGAGTGCCGCAACCCCAGAGTTGTCTGCGACTGGACCTAATGGTCAGGGGTCCCTTTACCTTTAGGCTGTTGGCCATTGCTACCTGTTGTGGGAGTGAGTTCCACAGTACAACTGCGTGGCATGAAGAAGTGTTTTGTTTTCTTTCCTGAATCAGCTCCATCCATGAGTTCTAGTGTTATAATGAGAGTCTTCCTCTGACTGTTTATTCCTTGCCTGGCTCTGCCCACTCCCTCCTGCTTTCTTGCATTGAATATCCGGAGCGCCAAAAAATGGCAAGAAGTTGGGGAGGGAGCAGTCAGGAGAATCAGCATCTGCTTTGTTTCCTGTTGGAACGGGAGACTTAAAGATATATGTACATTCTCCCGTTCCGAGTCTGGCAACGCTACTTGAGCCCGTGGAGTGTTTTGAACACTCTAAAGTGCTCTCCATAAATGGCAATGAATTATTCAAATGCTTCCATTTGTAACTTGCCTTTTCCTACAGCTCAGAATCAATGACCCTTTTGCGTTCTCTCCAAGGCAGACGGCTCGGGAGCAGAACTCCTGTTCTGGGGGGTCTCGGTTTGCAAATCAAGCCCACAGGGCAGTGGCGTAGCGTGGGGGGTGCAGGGGGGGTGGGCCGCACCGGGCGCAACATCTGGGGGGGGCACGCTCGCACTCGCAGCTCTCTGCCCCTACTAAAATCCACGGGTTAGGGGGCGCAAATTACTTGCCCTGCCCCGGGTGCTGACAACCCACGCTACGACACTGCCACAGGGTGATTGCCAAATCAGGTCTTGGCGAAGGAAGGCACAGAATCAAAGAAGTGGAAGGGAGGACAGGGTCATCTAGTCAACCCCCCTTGCAACGCAGGAATCTTTTGCCCAACATGGGGCTCAAACCCACAACCCTGAGATTAAGAGTTTCATGCTCTACCAGCTGAGCTCCCTTGTTTGGATCCTCTCGTCTCCTGGTGTTGCAGCAGGCCAGGGCGAGGCTTCCTCCAGAGCCAGTGGTTGGTACAGTGGTTAGAGTGCCGGACTAGGACTTGGGAGATCAGGGTTCGAATCCCCACCTGGCTATGAAGCTCACTGGGTGACCTTTGGCCAGTGACTGCCTCACAGCCTAACCTACCTCGCTGGATTGCTGTGAGGATTAAATGAGGAGGGAGAGGAACCATGTGTGGTACCTTTGGCTCCTGGGAGAAAAAAGTTGGATACGCATGCAATTAACAAATAAATCAATAAATATGAAAGGATGGAGAATGGGAAGTGGTTGCCTAGCAACTAGGTCTTCCTTCCTTCCTTCTGAAGTAGGATTAAAGATTCTGGAGAGGCTATTTTATTTCTTTATTTATTGCAGGGGTCAGCAAGCTTTTTTAGCCATGGGCCGGTCCACCATCCCTCAGACCATGTGGTGGGCCAGACTATTTTTTTTTGGGGGGGGGGGGAATGAACGAATTCCTATGCCCCACAAATAACCCAGAGATGCATTTTACATAAAAGCACACATTCTACTCATGTAAAAACATGCTGCTTCCCGGACCGTCCACGGGCCGGATTGAGAAGGTGATTGGGCCACATGTGGCCCATGGGCCTTAGGTTGCCTACCCCTAATTTATTGCATATATATCCCACCTTTGGGGAAGGAGGCAGGAGGGCTTCAGGACTCTGCCAGAGCTTTCCTGCCTCCTTCTCAAAGCGCTTTACTTACCTGTCTTTGGGAAGGTGGCAGGAGGGCTATGGGAGGGTCAAATATTGCAGAGGGCAACAACAACAAAAAAAGGCCTCTGTGGCCCCTTGTGGTCTTCTGGCTGTGTGTTGGCCCTCCCTGCTCTAACCACTGCACCACCGCTGCCTCTAAAGTGGCTGCAAAATTAACAATGGGGTGGAGCGGCTTCCTTCAGAAGAAAGGCCCAAGTCACCATTGGAGTTTTTATTAGGAAAAGTGATAACTGCGTCACTGTAGCATGATCTATTTGTAAAAACCATGAATGGGCGCTGAGAGAATGAATTAAGGAGAGAGTCCGGCACATGATACTCTCTGTAGCTGTGAGAAGGCAGTGAGACGACCATTCTGGGAGGGAGATGGGTGGCGCTGTGGTCTAAACCACTGAGCCTCTTGGGCTTGCCAATCAGAAGGTTGGCGGTTCGAATCCCCACAATGGGGTGAGCTCCCGTTACTCGGTCCCAACTCCTGCCAACCTAGCAGTTTGAAAGCACACTAGTGCAAGTAGATAAATAGGTACTGCTCAGGCGGGAAGGTAAACGGCGTTTTCATGCACTGCTCTGGTTCGCCAGAAGCGGCTTAGTCATGCTGGCTAAATGACCCGGAAAAACTGTCTGAGGACAAACACCGGCTCCCTCAGCCTGTAAAGCGTGATGAGCGCCACAACCCCAGAGTCGTCCGCGACTGGACTTCTGTCAGGGGTCCTTTACCTTTACAGACGCATGATGCTATCTGTAACTCAGTGAAGGCAGTGAGACATCCGTTCTGTCTCAGCTTTAGCCAGAGGCATGGGCTGCCTTCGTGACCCAGGACGACAAGGGCACTGGTCCAAAAGGGGAGAGGCCTGGCAACTCATGCGCCACTGCCCCCTTTGGCTCAGTTCGCACAATGCTGCCAACGCTGCCGCTTTGCCAAACGAGGGGCCGACGGCTCCAGCTGCTAATCTATTCTAATACATGCTAATCAAAACCGAGTTGCGGCCCAGATAAATCACTCTGCTCAGGCTGCAGACCCCCAGCCCTGTCCCCCCCCCCCACCAGCCGCCATCTCTGCCCCCTCTTATCTCTGTCCCCAGGTGCGGGACGCCCCCCCATTCTTAATGGGAATGATTTAAGAAGAGCACACAGACATACAGTACATATTCCCCAGCGGAGAAGGTGGGGATGTGAGGCTCTTTCCAACCTCCCTTTCCCTACAGTTTCAGAGCCTTAATAATAGTTATAATAACCCAAATAATGGCGATCAGCTCATGCGTGCAAACCGCCCCTCCCAACAGACACATGGAGTAGGTGGTTTTTGGGTGCACCCAGGGAGACGCAGAAGGAGAACAGTAGGAAAAGTGGCCCCCAGCAATGGAGGTTATGACCCTTTCTTTTTAACTACTCCCGAAACGATTCATCGTTTCTGTTGCCTGCAGCCCCTAGGAAAGCAATGCACGCCTTTTCCTGCAGAAGAGGGGAATGATTGAAGCCCCCCCTCCCTCCTCTCCCTCTATCGCTCTTGCTCATTCACGCCGGAAATGTTTTACATGCAAATCCCTCGTAGCCTTTGTCCTGCGAAGAATTGGAAAGAGGAATTTGTGGTCGGGGCTGGGGGCTTCACGCTAGCATCCCTCTGCTTCCATCTCCGAGAAGTCGCATGCAAAGCCGGCCTCGGAAGGCGAGACCCCGAACACAGACGGCTGTCGAGGGTTTGTGTCAGCGGTCAGGCTAAGCGTCACGTCTCAATCAGCATAAGTTCAAGTTCTTTAACCTTTAAGCAAGTTATGCTAAAAAAAAAAAAGTAAAAAGCACTGCAACTCTGACATTGCGGTTTATGGGGCCGAGGCAGAGCCCAGGCAGCCACCCCACTGGGCAGGGGCTAGAGGTTGGGGGGTGGAATTCATTTGGTTCATCTTTTTTTGTAGAGGACAAAGCCAATCTGATGGGGGGGGGAAGGCTCCTTGCTCAGTGGTTAGAGCACCTGCCTCGCATGCAAAAGGTCCCACGTTCGATTTGTGGGATGTGAAACACAAGAGCAGTCAAGTATAACATTCCTAGAGTGAACATGTTTACACATGGGGAGGAATGCTTGTCCAGCCAGTAGGTAAACTTCCTGTTTCCTTCTGGGCTGGGACAGACTTCCTCTGCATGTGACCAGAGGTGGGTGTGGCCTCACCTGTGCAGGTAACGACAAAAGCATAGGGCAGGGCAGCCATCTCTCTCTTTTTGACTACATGCATTGAAGAAGCAATATCTGCTTAGCCAAAGATGCTCTCTTGGCTTCCAAGAGAGGACAAAGGGACTGTCTCCTTGTGAGATAGTTTCCAGGTGTATGTTACTTTTCTAAGCTACGTCTGCCTTCTGGGATCCGATTGTGAACAGAGTGTGAGTGAGTAAATTCTTTTTATACTTTTATAGAAGACTGAGTCGTGTCTTATCTTTTATGAGGGAATAAGGGGAAAATACCAGAACAGTTATTATAGAGGCTTTAGCGAGCCTGAGCAAACGCATCTGCTGCGAGTTTAAAAAGGGGACTGTTACTCTGCTAAATTGTGAACTTGTTAACACAAGTTGGAAAGGCTATAACCAAACAATATATCCTCTCCTGCATCCCTGAACATTCCCACATGATTCCCGGCATCTCCAGGCAGGAAGAGACACCTGGATACAACCCTGGATAACTTCCTGCTGCCAGTAAGTGCAGACAATATGGAGGTAGATGGATGAAGGGTCTGATTCAGCATCATATGTTCAATATATTTCCATAGGGTTGGCTTGTTGATTAGACTGCAGTTCCTGGCCAGATTGCACACCCATCTGGATTTTCAGAGAGTTCTGTCTCTCTCTCTCTCTCTCTCTCTCTCTCCTCCCCCCTCCCTCCCCCCCCCCCACATGAGGCAGATTTAGAGCAATATGGCAGGTTCCCCTGCACCATGGATGCACCTTCTCACCATCTTCCAAAAGCCTAGTAAATGATGGGCTTTGGGAAGGAGGCATGAGAGATCTGGCAAGGTCCTAGAGTCCTTCGTCGTCCTTAGCAAAGCCTAGCTAGTGCCTGCCCAGCTTTGGGAAGGAGGAAGATGGGCTCTAGGACTCTGCCAGAGTCTTCTGCCTCCTTCCTACAGCCCAGCACCTCCATTACCCAGCTTGGGGAAGGTGGCTTTGGGCTGGTGTGTGTGTGTGTGTCAAATTTTGGCCTCAAACAGAGTGCCACATTACCAAGGTCCACCCACAAAGATGTAAACAAAACGAGTGATTTACTGGTGAGTGCGTTGAAAACAGGGGTATGGGATGGATTGATGACTGCCAGCAAAACAGAAACAGGACAGGATGAGCAGCTCAGCTCACCCCTACCAAACAATGCAGTTGCGATAGCTTTCCTTTTGCATCTGTTCTCTCCCAGTCGTTGGTTGTAAAACTGCAAGCTGTGGGCAGGGCCTTGTTTTAATTTGCCTGCTTCTCGTTGTTTTAACTGCATAGCACCTAGCACAATGTGTTTCATAAAGGAGGAGAAGGAGGACTAAATTAGCTGGCTGACATTTCATATTATGAGATGTAAGAAGCTTTATGGAGTCTTCCAAAATGGGGCATTTTTTAAAGGTCCAGCTAACCAAAGGATTGCTTTCTTTTGGTTCATATCATAGAATTATAGAACTGCAAGGGACCCCAATGGTAATCTGGTCCAGCCCTTTAGATATTTGAAGATAGCTCTCATGTCTCCTCTTTTCCAGGCTAAACATACCCCAGCTCCTTCAACCGTTCTTCATCAGGCTTAGTTTCCAGACCCTTGATCATCTTGGTCACCCTCCTCTGCACACATTCCAGCTGGTCAACATCCTTTTTAAATTGTGGGGCCCAGAATTGGACCCAGTATTCCCGGTATGGTCTGACCAAGGCAGAATAGAGTGGTCCTATCACTTCCCTTGATCCAGACAGTGCACTTCTGTTGATGCAGCCTAGAAGAGCATTAGCCTTTTTTGCTGCTGCATCACATGTTGTTTCCGTAAGTGCAAAGTAGTTAGGGTTCGTCTTTCAATGTGAATTTAATTGAATCCCCCAACCCCACCATCTCTAAGCGAAGACGATACCAAGCTAGACGGACCAACTCCTGGATTCTCTAAGACAGAGCTTCCTATGTTCCGATCTTGGATGTGGGAGCTCGCTCCATCTCTGCACATTTCATTCAAATAGCAGGTGTGGTAGTGATGAGATCCAGAATGGGACTCCGGGGTCAGGAAGCAGGGAATTATGACTGTTTCCTTGCCCTGTTTCCTTGGGGAAAACCATACCCCAAGCTGCTATTTGCACCAATGCAGCTGGAACAATTTCAGCGCATGGGACTAGGGGAAGTCAGTTTCCCCACAAGCCCTCTCTCAGTGTATGCTGTTTCTGTGGAGTCCCATTCCACAGGCACCAGTTGTTCCCCAAGGGGTGCAAGCTAACACTCTGGTCCCTGGAGCCCCCAGGCTTCAGAAATGAAGAAACATCCCTTTTCATGGATTCTGAGCTTCTCAAAGCAACTCTCTCCCCCCTCCCACTCCTAAATTCGCTGGCAGTTATTTTAAAGAAAAAGGAGGAAAAATAATAATAATAGGAAACTAGTCTGCAGCGATAAGGCAAGTAATTAATAAGCAAAATTACTCCCTCCTCGTGCATACAGTCCTATCATAGTTTTTTTCTTATTAACGCTAATAGTGTTTGTGAATGTTTTCCTCTGAACTGAGGAGATAGCAGTGCCATGAATCATACTTTAGAGGTGACCCTGCTAATCGTGGCAAGGAAGAAGAGAGGCGAACTAAATTTTGCCCTGTTGCTTTCAATTTCTAGGTTAGCCTTTGCAGAGAGAGGTAGAGGTTTGCAAACCATCTTTCCTGGCCAGTGAGATACCAGGCCCAACTCAAGGTGTTGGTACTTGCCTATAACACCTTAAACAGCCTGGGACCCAAGTACCTAAAAATCAGCTTCCCCAGTAGCAACCATCTCAGACCAAGTGGGCAGCAGGCGAGGCCTTGTTGGGGGCTGCCTGGATGGTGTTGACCAGTGACAGGACCTTTTTGGTGATGGTTCCCCATTTGTGGAATGCCCTCCCTGGGGAGGTATGCCTCTCTCCCTCCCTCCCTCATGATTGACATTCAGGAGGAATCTAAAAACATCCTTGTTTAGCCAGGCATTTGGTAGCTGAAAGATACTGTTTCTGGCAACTTTGAAATCACTGGCAGAGGGGATGTTTTTAATCTTTTAGAATATGTTTAACTGTTCTTTTTTGTTATTGAAAGAATGTTTTTTGAAAAAAAATTCAGTATTGATGTCTTTGTTACCCTGGGTTCATTTTGGGGGGAAGGATGTTATATAAGTTATAACTCACCCGCTGGATCACCACCTTGTCGTAGTGAGTGAGCTTACACATTCCTATGACTCTATTCCGAACTTAAAAATGGAAAGTGTAATGCTGGTGGTAAACAAAAGAGGTTTAAAGACTGTCTCAAGGCAAATTTTTAAAAATGTAGTATAAAGCCACTCCCGACATCCGGGGGGGGGGGTTGCGGGCTCACGCCCCATTCACACCCTCACGGGGCTGGCTGCAGCCCTGCAGGACCTGGGGAATCCCAGGGTCATTAAGATTCATTATTCACCGCACCAGCCAATCGGCTGGCGGCGGGGGCAGGACTTGTAAGGGGCATTTAAGGTCGGGGCAGCCCATGCTCGCCCCTTTCTTTTCTTTCAGCAGCTGCGGTTTCCCACCCTCCCGCCCTTTAGGTTCTCATCTGGACTTTGCTATGGGCTTCGGCTGGTCGCCGCAAGGGGCCTGGTAGGAGTTTTTCCATTTGGCTAATTGGCTATATTTTGGAAGCCACTTGGTTTTTTCGCCTACCTCGTAGCAAAACGTCACAACACCTTGGTTTTGGCGGTTAGGCATTGGCAGGGGTATTATTATGCAAATGAGATGGGGGGAGGAACGCCATCACCTCCCCCAAATGTTGAAGGGTAGTTCGTTAAAGGACTCCGGGGGGCGTCGCCTCGTCCGAAACCTATGGAGGCTACGGCCTAAAGCGCGCTCCCGAGCGGTAACCCCTAGGGATGTGCATCTCGGGGGCTCCCCCTGTTGGTGCTTAACCCTTCCCGGTTATACTGGTTAGTCTGATAGGGCCAATGCCTAAAGCCAATACCGCTCTTACCTGTAATCAATAAAGTTGTGGCCATTTTTCGCCCATTAACCTAAATTCTGGTGTCCTGTGTCTTTATTTATTCCATCTGTGGGAGGGGGCGGGAATCGCCACGCAAACACCAACAGTTGGGAAACACTTGCCTGTGAGCGCTCCAGTAGGAGAACAGCCTTTACCAAAGGTGTCATGGGCTTTGAAGACACTCAAACTCAGGATGTAAGGGAGAAACGTCCTAAGAGGAAGGCACGCTTGGCAAACCCTCACCATGATCAACTCCCTCCGGGAAACCTATCTCCCCACTGTGGAAGGACATGTGGATCCAGAATTGGCTTCCACAGTCACTTACGGACTCATTGTTAAAACCGTGCATGCGCACGAAAGCTCATATCAATAACAAACTTAGTTGGTCTCTAAGATGCTACTGGAAGGAATTTTTTTATTTTGCTAAAACTGTGTTTATGGAAGACAATCTTACTTGGCTACAAGTGATTGCCAAAGAAGAAGAAAAGTTATAACGACAACAACAATAGTTAAGGCGAATTATCTTCAACACATGCATACATAAGGACATTTCAAGTTTTTTTCCTTGTTTTTGAGAACAAGTAAGCCTGCAATATTATATGCATCCGGCCTGTTCAGTGGGACTCAGATTCATTGAATTGCAGAACTGGGAGGTATTCCAAGGTTCATCCAGTCTAACCCCATGCAAAGCAGGAATATTTCATTCAATGTGGAGTTTGAACCCACAAACCTGAGGTTAAGAGTCTCATTGTCTACCAACTGAGCTATGCTCAGGAAAAGCCCCAAATGTGGAAATGATGATACACATGGAAAGAGGCCTTCTATCATATGACTGATCTATC